GTTATAGTAAGAGAGCCCACTGCAAATTTCCACCGTCATCTGATAACGAAATGAAATATGCTCCAACCAAATTGCACCTGTCAATCCCTATCCTGAGCAAAGTGGTTAAAAAAATATTTTACTTTCAAAAAATCACATAAGACATGACAGCGACAATTGTGTTTTCCCTGAAAAGTGCAATCCTAATTCATTGTAAACCTAGCTTTTAAACCTAAATTATTAATATTTCTACCTACCTTTTAAACTATGTGCATGTGTAAAAGGTTTGTTGTTTCTATGGCATCCTGTAAAAATGAATTACAATAATAGGCATACAAATAAGTTTTAAAATTAGCAAAAATTGATTCATAATCATTTTTACCTACTAATCGTGGATAGATGTTTTTGTGCAATGTTAAGAAGAAGAAAATGTTTCCCTTTAACGATATATATATCGAGATATGTTTTGAATATGTTATTTTCTAGAAAACTTTAAGGGCAAACAAAATAAGCGCTGTCATGCCTTATGTGATTTTTTTAATATAATAGTATATTATTCAACGAGCATATAATAGCCATTATATGCGAGCAGAATACTATATTTTGTCCACGACTTTTAAATGAAATTAACTAAGAATCATAACAAATCTATTTTTTTTTATGAAAATATTAACATAATTAATCTAATACCTTAACTAACTACTAACTAACTAATTAAATAAATAACTAACTAACTAGGTACCTAACTTATATATAGTTTATTTACTTATATTAATAGTAATATTTGCATTTACGCAGTTGTGTAGAGTTATATTAGGGATCGAATTTGAGCTATCTACATTGATATTTTGGTTGGTGGTAGATGTAGATGCAGATGCGATCTGCTGATAATTAGATGTATATGCAATATGCTGATGATTAGTAGATGTACTCGTAGATTCGATCTGCTGTTGATAACGAGATGATTCAATGGATTTCGATATTTTTGAAGCCGTGTCCATTTTATTTTTCATCGATTCGTCAACATAACCTTCGGCTACCGCTGTAGACTTCCACTCTCCATGCCTCTTCAACGCGGTTATATCCCCGCCCGCTTCGACTAATATAGTGGCAGCAGATCTGCGGAAACTGTGCCCAGAATATTTTCCTGGGTTGGGTAATTTCAAAAATTTAGCTATGTCTTTTAAAATTTGGGTAAATTTATTAATCCCAATTCTTTGAGAGGTGCACTTCCCATTCTGGAAGTTTAAAAAAAAGACATTTGCATTTGAGGTAGCCCAACCAGGAGGACGAAGGTTTATGTATCGTTTGCAAATTTCTTTCTTTGTATTTGGTATAGTTATTAAAAAAGCTGAACCCAAATCTTGAATATCCCCAAGTTTCATGAGGTACATTTCGTTAACTCGACAAGCACCCATTACTCCCATTTTCAATGCTACCTAAAATATTTATTATTTGCACAAAAGTATTTAAGCAATATGTACCTATATTTATTACCTTTGTCGCGAGATATTTGTCGTCTGATGCCTCCATTAGAAATTTTTTTATATTTTCCGGAGGAAAAGTATCAGCTTTTTTGGTTTTAAATCCTTCAGACTGTCTTTTCAACAGTGCTCTTAAATTACTATATCCTTTAATTTAATTTATTGTGCTTCTCAGCATTGAATAGGTTGTCCATAACGTGGATGGTTTATATTTTTTTGATAGTTCATTAAAATAAACGAATAAGACTGGTTCAGAGAACGATTCTGTTTTTTTTTTTTGGCAATTCTCCATTGCATAAAAGATTCATACGCAGAGGTATAAAGTATTTTAGATTTTTCAGGCAATAAATTTAAAGCACCAATTTTGCCTCTTTTTCGATATTTTGAAACATTTTGAATTTTTTCAAATTTCAAACATACAGAAATTACTAATTTCAAATTCAAATTGATGTGATTTTACGGATTTGACGTTTCTCAGCCTTAAATACACATACTTTGATGTAATTAAAGCACAGCTTATACAATACAGCTCCACAACTCCGTGTCGGCGTCTTTGATCTGGCGGTCGAGAACCAAGCAAGACGGAATGGTGCTATCTCTGTTAGATTCGAGGGAAAAGTCGGGCCCGGCTTAAACAATTTTTTTATTATTGAAAAAATTGAAAACCTTGGCGTAATAAGGTTGGTTACATGCCATATTAAGTAAGTTTTGGGAAATTACATTTTTAATTTGTTTTAAATCTGTCAAATATAATTAGAAACATTATTTAAATATAAATATTACGAAAAATAGCACATCTTTCGGATTAGAGGTAAAATAATTTGTATGTGGCTAGTAAAATCCTCGTTAACAAATGTTTTGAGCTAAAACAGTCACTTCACGACAAATTGTGTCTTGGATCCTTTTTACACCAAGAGCTTCAATTGTTAAAGAATTGTGTCACGCTCGTGGATGCAAATCAAGTGGTACCCCGTGTCTCTGGCAAGTGTTACTCTTCGCGCAAAGGGTTTATACCTAGATAAACGAATGCTTCGACTGAGGTCTGGGAACTCTATGGTATTTTGGAATTATAAAGAATTTGTGCTTTTATTTTAACAATATTGGTTATATTTTGATGTATTCTTATTAATTGAAATACAGATTTGTAGAAGTAATACTTTGACAGTTTTTTATTAATATAATATATTCAATTTTTATCTGACCATACCGAAGTAGGGAATTTTGAAACTTTATAGTAATGTGAAATTTGAATTACAATATTACACGATATTACATAATTAGTACTTATTTTAGGTAGGTACTAAATTTGTACTTAGAGAAAGTAATATCGATTTTTACAAGAAAACTTGAAAAGTAAATTAATTTAGTTCCTATTTCTGATGTAAAACTTAAGTTTTGGTTTAAACCAAGAAAACAAATAAATTATAGTTTGTTCAACAAGGGTGGATATGATAGCAATATCACACAAAGACGAAGTTTGAGCACGACGTCGTATGCGGAGTACTCAACCGTCTGATTGTGATATGAACAATCCACTCGATATGGTCAGTATATTTTTTCTACGACCCACTAACGAAAATCAACAATTTTAAATAATTATTTTAGGTTATTTAGACAAAATAACTAATTTTAAAATAATTTACGAAGTTGACTAATTTATAAAATAAAATTAACATGAAAAATTAATTAGTCCTCGGCCTAGATTCGATCCCGGGCTTTTCGCGTGGAAGGCAGATGCTCTGTCCTCATCTTCACCGAAACTTTCAGGGACTTTAGTTTTAATCGTAATTAAATTAGTATCATGTAGTTTGATTAAAATTTATTTTTTTCTAAATGTGGACACAATAAAAACAAAAATGCTATTATTTATCGAGTCTACACAAAAATTTTAATGTATATTTAATATCAATAACTAAAATATATATTGACAATTAGTTTAACAGAATTGTCACTTATTTAAAAAAATTTAAATAATAGGAGTTGGGTGACCAAAATATGAACTGTGATTTGTAGATTTAATTTTGTTAAAGTTTTCTCACTACCTAAAATGGATATGAAATATATTCGTAGTTGAACGCAATAACATACTTTTTCGTTTTGTAGTATGTGCATAGATTGGCTAATATCCATGCACAGATTACAAAACGAAAAAGTATGCTATTGCCTTCAATTGAACGAATATATTTCATATCCATTCTAAAATCAACGAAATTATAGGCTCCACGAAATTATAGGCTCCACGAAATTATACAATCAACGAAATTATACGCACGACTCAACACCTTACCTAAGTACGCTTCTGAACACCAAAACCGTCTTTTCCCTTCGAAGGCGGAGCTTAAGCGATGCGCGACGAAATCGACGTAAACCGTTGCCGCCAAGAGAGTGTTTTAGCTGTATTGTATAAGTTGTGATTAAAGTATGTGCTTAAATATGATCTAAGCGTCGACGTGCGTTCACAGTACACCCATACTACCACCTGTACACCTACGTAATATGTGTTGCCTATAATCTTATATACAGAATTATGGGTACGGATTATGTATATGTAAAATGTTGGAGCCTCGGTTCTCGGTTTATTTCCAGGAAAACAGAAAATTTGAGTTATGCTTGGCAGTTTTGTTTGTAATTTTGGAGTGCTAAATAATAAGTATTTAACAAAATAAAATTTAATTGGTGTTTGTTTGATCACGCATAGCAACGTATATATGTTTTTGAGCTTAGGTTTATTTTGAGACATTTAAATTTCTTTTTATTAGAATAAATAATAATAATAGTATAACATTTTGTCCTAAAATATTTGCTGTTACATAAAAACAATAAAAACCTAAGAATCAAAATACTGAACAAACAATAGATACCTATAAAGAATATTTTCATATCAGTTTAGACATACGTGCTGTCGTGACGTCATACCGTGACTAATAGATCATTATTCACTAGTGAATAATAGGTATTATTATTCT